ATATAAGATTGTATTCATATTGAATGTATTCATATCGAATTGTTGAAAAATAAAAGGAGGAAATGAAACAAAACAATGATTGCCTAATAATTTATAGTTCAGTTTGTGCAAATAATTTATATTGTACAAACAGTGTTATTAATAGCACTTTACCCCAATTATTTATAGGCCTATTCAAAAGTCTGTATCTTATTAACCGTTCCGGATTATTTCTTCATACATCAATTAGATGTCTTAGAATATTCATTTGTAGAACAACATACCCATTTTTCCCGAAGCCTGTGATTAAAAGTAGTTAAAAATCATATGTGGGTTATCAACTCATGTATTATAGTCAAGTTAAGTCAAAAGTTGCCTAAAAGCCCAACCAACTCAATCTAGGATCAGCCTATTTTCTGCACAAATGCATTTGTTATAAATATTATATGATATATATAAGGTATTTCAAACTTATAATTTGACACATTAATCATTAACTTTAGCTCAGTTGTTACTGTTACACCAGCAAAACTACATGGTGTTTAGCAAGGAAAATTCGTTCCTGACCTTGAATTTACATTGTCTGATGACCTGAAAAGCCAATTTCATTACTCGGAATTTTAACTGATTAAAGAAATAATACTTCATTTGTAAAGCTTAAAATGTAAAATAACTTACTATGCGTTAAACAATAAAATATATGTTTAGAAATAAACAATGATAAAAATAATGTCATAATAGTAAAAGTAATAACAAATATTATTTTTACTATTAGGCCTACCGTATATTATATTTGATATACGATATTTTGATTAATAATCAATATATCTATTATATATACTAGTGACAATGATAATACTCAATAAGCCAAATAAGGCAATATGTCATAATACTAAAAGTAATAACATATTATTTTTACTATTATATTATATTTGATATACGATATTTTGATTAATAATTAATATATCTACTATAAATAATAGTGACAATGATAATACTTAATTGGCCAAATAAGGCATTATTATTTTTAGACTTTAGAATATGCATGAATTATAGATATAATAACAATAATAATAATAATAATAAAATACCAATAATAATAATAATAATAACAATGATAATAATAATAATGATAATAATAATAATGATAATAATAATAATAATAATAATAATAATAATAATAATAATAATAATTACAATATTTTACAGATAATTAGTTTTTAAGTTAGCATTAAAATAATGTAAAATTTATGTTTGATTTGCCTCAAATTTGCAAGCTCTCTTGAGTTTCTTAGTTGTTTTCTTTATTCTGTAATCTTTTTAAATATGTTTGTTTAACCGTATTGCATCTGTTATTATATTTTGTTTGATGAATGATGTTGAATTAAGATATATAGGCCTAGTATGTATTGTATTGTAATTTCCGAATGCAAAATGTTGCTTGTATATTCTTAAACACTAAATACCGAACGCATCCTGTTCCCTACGTTTGTATATAGGTTGGATCACATTGCCAGTAGAACTGCAGTTTGCTATAATATAATTTGTATATCTCTTGACAATAAGGCAGACCATGAGTTGCGACAAAACTTCCTACTGATTTTCACCAAAGTGAATTAAGTTCCCTAGGGTTGCATTCCCTCCGGTCTTTAAGTGATACAATGTTGATCTAAATAAAGAGCTTCGCCCAAGAGGAGTACGTATTACCGTTCACCGACTGATTGCAATGCGCCACGAAGCACGAATAATACTTCTGGAAACAATGGTTCAACTGAATGCGTTACGCGAAAACAAGGATTTATTTCTATGTGTTACATACAAAATATAGGTTAATCTTATTTGCTAGTTCTTGCTTTTATTCTTATTGTGATTTCATACATTGTTATTCCAGCAAATAACATCAATTACACGAATGGTGGTGATGTAAGTTTGGGGACTGGGAATTGGTAATAACTTACCTGGGTAAGTTTTGTGTATTGCTCTATTACCGCCGACTTATGAGTAATTTCCGATCTAAGCTACTACTGAAAACTATTATGAAATCAATGAATTAAGACGTCGTACGATAAGATGGATCCAACTCCACTCCCTGCGAGCGATAGACGCCGTCTGCTAGATTGTCAGTGGCACTCTGAACAGATCGTCATTAAAAACAATTCGTTGCGCGCGCGTCGTGGCGTTGCGTTCTCCGCAGAATCGCGTCCGCAGTGAGTGCCCTGCTTTCAGCTTAACATGGAAGTATGATGACGGAATTCTTTATTATTCTTAACATAAGTGGTTCTTTCATTTATTATACAGGACATCATACTTTATGTAATTTGTGTTCATTTTATTGTGAGGTATTTTAGGACTGATATTTTTACGAAGCCAAATTTGTGAACATATTATAACAGAATTAAATCTGTGCCATTTGAGAATATTTATAATGAAAATGACTAAATATTTTTAGACCTACCGCTCTATAAGGCGCCACAAGCATGGAAGTTGAAATGACTTTATTGTAAATGGAGAAAAAATTGATTGATTGATTGATTGATTGATTGATTGATTGATTGATTGATTGATTGATTGATTGACTGATTGGTTTTAATATTTACAATTTTGCAAAAGAAAAAATACAAGATAGCCGATTAAAAAGCAATAATTGACAGTCATAATAAATGCAACAGCAGCGTCTAGATGAGAATAAAAATAGAATAACAATAAAATCTCATTTGTTGACATCGAAATTTAGATTTATCACGCTTAGAAATATTCAAATATCTTGGTCAGCGTCTGGTGATTCAAGACCACCTGAGGGCAAAATGCAATATTATTATCTTGACAATTAAACATTTTAATAAGAGACTTAAATTTGCTGGTCAATTTATGTATTTTTGAAGTGAAATATCTGTACAAATGTACAATACAATATACAATATTTATTGGATAGCACTTTTGCAAACATTGACATGCATCAGACAAAACCTAATGAATGAAAAAGAAATGGAAAGACTATATTATTACATCTTTTACACAGAACAGTATAAAAACAGCGTGGAGGATTTAAACGCTAAAGTTCCACGCAATTTTGTCCAGCTTGTGGTTTATTTAGGCATAGCCTAATGTGCTTAGGATCTTGGCGTGTTTAGCAGTAAATGTGCTTAGGTATTTGACATAATTTCAGGCCTATTTAAGCACAGTTAATGATAAACACGTCAGAAACCTAAATATATTAGGCCTTTGACAAAATGGCGGGCAGTTTTGCGTATAAATCCTCCACGCTGTGAATGTTTGATATTTTATATAATATTAGTACATATTATTTAATATTACTACATATTTTTTGGCAGAAAATGAATATTTCAATCCGAAAAACAATTGATTTTATCACAATAATGTCATACATGTGATTGATGATTGCCTGAAATAACGCGTGTTTCTTATTTATTAATGTTCTTATTTAATAGCTCTTAGATATTTTACATCGCATTTCATTTATCAGCATTGTTCGTATGCACCATGATAAAATCTGAAATGTACGATCTAATTTGCGTCTATAGACAATAAAATTGTGTTTTTATATTTGCAATCTTTATAGTAGTCCTATAACTCATGAAACCATGCTCTTTTGGTTTTGGTTCGGGTGGGCTTTTGAAGGAAATATTCATTACAGTGGATGGTACCGGTAGTTAGCGGTTTGTAACGGCAAGGCAGCGCTATATAGAAGCACCCAGTAACAAGTAATATTCAGTGTTTGGGCCGACTGCCATTTAAGCAGAATGCATGTGTTTTTTGTGGCGCAATCGGTTTAGTGCATTTGGCTGTTCAATTGGAGTAAAACCCTCTATTGGAATTTTGATTTTGCTGTCAATTCATTCACCCAAGAACTCTACATCTGATTTAAAGATGTACTATCAATAAAGAAAAAAAAACTGAAACCAAAAAAAAACACAGGAAAATACCTCAAAAATTGAAATAAATTATATTTGATTTGTTTAGATTTTCTGTATTTTGAATGATAGTGGGTATACATCTTGTAACGAAAAAAAATGGGATGTAATTTTATTCTTTTTAAACAATGCCTTACTTACATAATAGGCCCATGTGGTATAAAATTAACATGATTAAAAGAGGTAATATTAATTATAATTATTTCACGCATAACAGAATGGATGGTGGCTGCTTTTGAAGAGGATTGAAATTTAGTCGATTAGACATGGTGAAGTAAAATTCTTGTCGTTTGCAAGACCTGAGACCAAGTTACAACTCCAATTTTGTATTTTAACATCAAATACACAAGTTGTTATCACGATTATCGTCTGATGGGAATTTGTCGCCTACACAGCACCAAGATTAAAATACCGCAATATGGACATAATATTCCCACCATGCTTACGCTTAATACTCGCGATTCTTTTACGATACTGCCCCGTTCATGTGTAGACCCATCTGTTAGGGAGAAATCTTCGGTCACATACAGCGTGAAACCATTATACGCCTACCCCGAGCGAAATTCTAAGCTGTAAGGTTTCTTAAGCCTATTTAGGCAATCGTTAACGCATCACTTCCCTGTATGGGAGGATCCTGTTTGAAAAATATTATGTTTTCACAAACACTTACAAAAACTAGATTGACTTATAAAGTAAATTACAATACGAAAGTAGATAATTCTCGATTTGTAAAATTTCAGAATTTATCTTTGTTTCTTTATTATATCTATATTGAGTAAGAAATTCGAATTTAAATAGGCCTATTTACCAAAATTGTAATCACTTCAGAATCATCTCAAGCAGAAAGTTGTTCTCGTGAAAGTTAATTAATTGGACGACGGATGACGTCACATGTTTTGAATCCAGGGATTGGTTACAATATTGATCGACGTTCGGCGAGCAGTAGGATAAAGTTGTGTTTTGTTAGACAGTGACTTTTCTCTTCTCAGACCTTTTGTGATGTTTCTTGCATCAATGCACAGTCTTAACCGTAATGCGCACGCGCAAATATCAGAAGATTCTTAGACCTTAAAAGTGGGATTTCTTAAGAGTGGTGTTACCAATATCTGCAAGGGGTCTCGAGAAACGCTGACGCTACCTTCAATTCTTTCGCTGTTAATTTCTTTAATTTTCTATCTCTAAAAAACTGTAAATTCACGTTTTCTGGAAGAAATTTTCATAATTTGTTTATATTCTCTCAAATTATCACATCGGAAATCGTTTTGGACATTAATGATATTCCAGCGATAACTTAATTGATAAATGCGATTGTAAATTTAACTAAATTAGGAAACTTGATTAGTCAAACACACATTCGCCGTTCCAAATAAAATTAAAGAGTAAATTGTCGATAGGATCAATTTCGGCAATTTTGTTAAATAATTTTGGTTGCAAACAGTGTAACAAAAACCCACATCGATGATGGATTATTCGTATCTCGGGCAAAATGCATACGATTCTTGTTTAGGAGGGATGGACGGCGCGAGTCTAGGAATTCAAACAACCTATGGTGATTTTAGCCCTGTCTCGATGACCCAGGCCAGCCAGGGGTACTACGGTAGCATCAGGTCCCCCATGAGCTATGGCAACAGCAACACCGGGATGGCCCCCACTTGCAACATCGCCAGTGTAATGGATCACCACCCACAGGCAGCGTCACAATGCACTCCGTACGGAACAGGTAAGTTTTATTTCGTTTTTTCTCTCTCCACCAATATTGCTTTAATTATTTTTAATCAAATAAGAATCTTTAAATGTAATTAAATTAGTATAATTACTAACCAGTGGTGTCATCTTCACATTGGCATACCACAATTCCAAGAAAATTAGTACGTTGTGTATGGATTATGACTGGCAGTTTATTAAGAATGTTAATAAAAAAAAAATAAGTGTTATATATTAGGCCTAATCATTATAACTAGCTTTTGATATTATTATTAATATTATTATTATTATTATCATTATTATTATTATTATTATTATTATTACTATTATTATCATTATTATTATTACTTTTGTCATTTCGTTGATAAAACTTTTAGAATGCAATGACAAACATGATTACACGATTAAAATACAAGAACTTAAAAAGATTTAAAAGTCATTAAAAGTTTATTGGATTGCTCAAATGTGAAAACAAATTCCCTTAATTGTGTCTTCATCAGAACATTCATTAATATAATTATCATTATTATTCTCATTACAGTTGTTAGGTTTCAATGGCAGAATTATAATAACAAGTATAGTATAAGGAAAATTTTTGAGCCACGTTTCTTCCTATATTGCACTTGAAACAAAAATTCAACCATCCAATCAAGATTTTTTAGGGTAAAAAATGGTCAGCTTCTGTTGGATGGATCATCCTAATCAAATATGGTTCAAATAAATAAAGATTTGAGATTCAAGATAATTTTACTTCTCATCGCCGATAAAACTCAATTAGGAGAAATTCACATTGCCACATCAAAATAGACAACATTTCTAGTTAACATTCAAAAAACTAGACTAAAAACATCAAGATATGTAAATTAATACACAAGAATGACAAAATTAAAAATATCAGGAAATCGTCCTTCATTTACAATAAATTGATTACAAGGATTTGGAATGTTGATTAGTGGCTGGTAATTTAGTTGGCCCGCATTACGAAAACTATGTTGCCCTGTACTTTCATCTACGGCTAAAATCAATACTTTTTTAATAATCACCAAAACTTTAAAACAATTAGCGTCCAATCCATTGATTTTGTTGTGATCAGCATTTTAATTTAATTTTTAATAAACTCAAGTCCTTATGATTAATAATTCAAAATTACGATAATAATATGAATCATTGCAAAACTTAAGCTGCTGTAAAAACACTACCGAAATAATATTTAATATAGGTAACCCGTTTTTGGAAAAAGGATTTAAAATAGACAATGAACAATATGGAATCAAATTCACTGTTAACGTTCAATAACATACATCTAATAGAAATGAATTAAAATGTTCCTATTAAAGTGTTTTGTACTTAAATTAACATTTCACATTATAAAATCTCTATGAAATATATAAATATAACGATTAGAGAATGATACCCCAAAAGTTCTAACTGCGATGAGTGTTCCCATTGAGTCCATACATAAGAAAAGGCAATATTTAGAGCCTATTCAAAAATGTTAAAACTTTCAATCAGGTCGTCGTGTCCTGTTGGTTGTCTTCGAAGTGACGGGTGACAATATCACATTTTATGTGAAAAAATGTGTGTGATGTGCTCATGTATGGACATGATGATGACACATTACATCCAAATATGGGCATATCACAGTTATACAGTTTGATAGTGTTGACAAAGGTTAAACGTGCGAAGTGTTGACCTTTAACACTATAACAATGATAACTACAGAGGATATTTGGATTTTGCGAGTAGCCGCCACCAAACGTAGACGTACTAGATGAGCTTCCTAAGTATCGAGATATTTGACGGTTTTACGATGGAGGAATTAGTCAGGAAAATATTATAGAATTGTTGTTTTTTCCTACCTGACTTGTTATCGTACTGAATGCTCAGTACGTTCCAAGAAACTTTCGGGAAAAAAAACGCAAGTGATTCGGGTGGGAAGCGAACGCACGACCCCCAAATAACTAGCCTGGTCCCATCCGAATACTTGCGATTTTTTTTTGCAACCATTTCCTCCATGGTTTGTTACCGACAGTGATTCATGAGTTGATTATTCAATAATTGGTCAAACACATTAATTAGCGATAAACAAATTGATTTAGCAAATATTAATACGAGAAAATTTCATTAACAATAAAATGTCTGGATATCGTTAAGCAAATATCTTTTAAAATGTTTCATTTGAAGCAAAACAAGTGAATCTAAGTATTTCGAAGTATCACGCAAGTGATTCGGGTGGGAAGCGAACGCACGACCCCCAAATAACTAGCCTGGTCCCATCCGAATACTTGCGATTTTTTTTTTGCAACCATTTCCTCCATGGTTTGTTACCGACAGTGATTCATGAGCTGATTATTCAATAATTGGTCAAACACATTAATTAGCGATAAACAAATTGATTTAGCAAATATTCATACGAGAAAATTTCATTAACAATAAAATGTATGGATATCGTTAAGCAAATATCTTTTAAAATGTTTCATTTGAAGCAAAACAAGTGAATCTAAGTATTTCGAAGTATTTTTTGGTCAGGAAATTATTACAGAATTAATGTTCTGCCATTCCTGACGTGTCATTGTACTGAATACCCAGTACGTTCCCAGAAACTTTCAAAAAGTGATTCGGTGGGAAGCGAACGTACGACCTCCAAATAACTAGCCTGGTCCCACACGAACACTTGCAATTTTTTTCCCGAAGTATTTGGGAACGTACTGAATATTACAATAACACGTGAGGTAGGGCAAAACATCACTCCTATAAGTATAAATAGTGACGTAATTAAAGAACGTTATAGGTGATAATCTGAAGGGACATAGCGATATTTTGCTTTACTTTTTTAACAAATTATCGTCATAATTTTTGTCATTTTCACTTCATTTATTTATTTGACATCAAACGGTCCAGGGGTTGAGCGAGCAACAATGCGCCATAACACGAATGTGTTCGCAACCCCTGTACAATTATTACATAGTTAAAATTCAAATATTTACACCTTAAATACAAATTACACCTCAAATACCAACAAATTAAAGGTCCAGTAAAAAAGATAAGTATAAATAGTGACGTAATTAAAGAACGTTATAGGTGATAATCTGAAGGAACATAGCGATATTTTGCTTTACTTTTTTAACAAATTATCGTCATAATTTTTGTCATTTTCATTTCATTTATTTATTTGACATCAAACGGTCCAGGGGTTGAGCGAGCAACAATGCGCCATAACACGAATGTGTCCGCAACCCCTGTACAATTATTACATAGTTAAAATTATATATATATTATATAAAAATATTATATATATAAAATATTATATATATAAAATTATTTATATATATATATAATACAAATATATATATATGTATATATATACTTATATACACAATAGAAAATTATACATTTATGGAAGATTAAAATAATTTTACACAGAATCATTGCAGTTTACACAAAACTATTATCAATGAGGTATTTTCTGAACTGAAATAGAAATAATTTAAGAGGTGAACAACAGCATAATCTTTGATTGAAGGGGTAAGTGATGACCAAACTACAGGAAAATTATGGATTGATGTATATTTTAAATTGATATTATTTTAGGTACATTAAAAGTATAAATAGCAGGGAGCAGTAATATATATTTATGTGTGCTCCATGGTTATATTTTATACCTTGCATCAAATGTATTTGTATAAGCCTATGAATACAACTGCTTAAGTAAAAAAAATCCCGAGAGGCTTCAAATTGTTATAACTAGAAATTATGTCCTATCGAGAAAATGAGGCAAAGAATAAAAACGGAAAAGCATTATTAAATTTTCAAACCATTTAAAGGATGAATATATACCGATGTTCTGAACCTGTCTCTTATACACATCTAGATGTGTATAAGAGACAGAAAGAGGTCTCTGGTAGGAATGAACACGCAATCCCTCGCTATCTCGGCGAGCGTCATACCGTTAGATATTATACAAGCATAATTTTGGGTTCCTATATACAAACAACTGAAGAGTTGTAATTAGAAATACAAAATATATGCATTCCAAATTACACTTAGATAGCTGTACCTACAGTAAATTAAAACATCATGTTCCTACCGCAAAATTATATCTTCTTCCATTATTTATTTCAAATAATGAATCATTGTAAAGCTGTTAAACTATGCTATCCGATCAGAATAAGAATTTAAATATACTGGTGTTTTCTAAATTGGTCAGTGCTGAAAATGTTAGTGTGCAGTATTCTGGCAAAAAAAAAATCTTAAAATGATTTAACGATTATTATCAGTCAACAATCGTCAGTAATCTGATTTGTATTTTGAATTCTGAGTTTTCAAAGCACATTTTAGACCGGAGGAAGAAATTATATTAAAATACCTATTGCAAAATAACTAATAAGAGTTTTTCTATTTCATGACGCTTAACTTAGAGAGAACACCAAGCCTACAATATTATGTCACATTAGGAGCACCGTATTTGCCGTCGAAATGGCAATCGCTGTGATCCGGTTTAGTATAGTTGTCGATGTGAAGGCGCGATGAGTTAGTAGCCTACAGGAGCAAAGGCAAACTTGAATTTGTAGTGCGATCCTCAACGAGAGCGGCAAAGTTATATAATATGCGTGTAATAGTGTATTCAGTGTAACTCTTTCCAAGTATCAAACAGATATCAATATAATTCTTCAGGTGACAGTTCGAAAATAAAATCCATGTAAACAGCCGAGTGGCAATTTTTATCTGAAGGAAATGACAAGTTATGAAGCAAAATATCTTAAAATATGAAAAATGGTAAAATTCACGAAGTAGACTGCTGACTGAACGGGACCTCCTAACGCCGGCATAACAATCTCAATATGCAGACAGGCGGGTTGGTGAAACGAATGTATACCAGCCTTTATGAAATTACAGGCCTTAAACTTAGTTATAGAACGTGGAATCGAACGCTGTTGAGAGACTAAATTTTATAAGAACATTTCCAATAGCGTAATCAAATCACTTCGTGCGAAATTGTTGTATTCGAAGTACCTC